AAAACCATTTAACGCGTTCTTTAGCTAAATTGTTATTTGTTTTTTTATTAGCTGAACAAAAATTCAATTTATTTATTAATGTTTTTACTCTTTCATTAATGGTATCGAATATAAAATTTAGTGGATAATTGTTTTCTAAAAGTATCCTAACAACAAATTCAAGATTCTTTTTGTGAAATTGTGGATATGAAATATAAAAGGTTTTATCTACCAGATTGAAAATTATACCTTTCTTTTGCGAGATTGGATGCTGAGACAAAAAATTCAAAATTCTTCCCGAAAATGTTGGTTTTTGATACCAGTCAAATATTAATGAGTTATTTTTTAAAATTATAGTTGTGTCCAAAAAATTGATAGAATTACCACCCACTTCCAAGGTGAATTGTAACCTTGGATGGAATGAATTAAATTTTTCAAGAATAGAATCAATTTTAGAATTCGGTAAACAAAGAACGATGTCGTCTACATACCTGTAATAGAATGGTATATAATATTGAATATTACTCAACACCCAATTCTCTAAATCCATCATAACTAAGTTAGCAACAATCAGAGAAAGCGGTAAACCCATAGGCGTTCCAAAAGTCTGTTTGTAAAATTGATTGTCAAACGTGAAAAAAGTTGAATCCAACACTAAGCGAACAGCTTTGATAAATTCATTTTTCGGTAAATTACAATTCTTGCAAATAACGTCCCATCTATTGGAAAGAGCATCTATTGCTAAATCCGTTGGAGTGTTAGTGTAGAGTGATATTACATCCAAACTAAACCCATGATTAATTTTAATGTTTTTTAATTTTTGAACTAATTCAAAACTGTTCTCGATGTTATATTACATCCCGATAAAATTCTCTCTTTCGTTATTATAAATATATGATTCATACCTTATTTTTATTTTATCTCTAGGTTAATATTTCGTCATGGTCTTGATATTTCGTCCCTATTTTATCTTTATTTCGAAACCGAAAATTCCGTTTCTGTTTTATAGGGGGGTATATCTTTTTCTTTATTTAAACATTCAAACCAACAGATAGATCACGTATGTACCTTTATGCGTCACACAGATTATCTACTGTAAAAAATGTCTAAGAATATTCCACGATCTTTTTCAAAGAAGCATTTCTATTAAATAATAAATAAAAGCGTATATTAACAGTATATTAGTGATAATGTATGTTACATTTGTGTTTACAAATTAAGAAATTAGTAATAAAATAGAAATCTTCCTGAATGCGAGGACGAATATCTTTTTCTTCCTTTTTTCTTGTTTCTTCCAATGAAATCAAACTAATATTAGATATATAATTCAGAATGTAATAGATTCGCCTCGCATAAGGATGTTAGATAAGGAAAACCGAATTTTTATTATAAATTAAAACTCTCAACTATTACCTATTAAGACTAAACTTGTAGAGTGGGGAGTAGGGCTTACGCGGAGCCGTGCTACCTTATCTTAAGGAACCAAGCGCGAGTATAGGTCCTACCAAATTTTGAGGAGTGTTGATTGGTCCTGAAAAGACACTCCCATATTCATTTCCAAAATATAAAAGGAGTAGATATACAAGGGGGGTTTTGGACCACGGATACAGCCGCCTGGCTACCACCAGGCGGCGCTGGCGTCGCGGTCGCGAGAGGAACTACGGCGCGGGGGTGGAGGGGAGAGGATGGAGAAGACATGCTTGATGGCGCGGGGGAGGAGGGGAGAGGAGGGGAAAGGACCCGACGCTATCGGTGTTTACATAAACACTAGTAGCAATAATACGTGCCGCCATGCTGTGACACCGTGTATCATTGGGACCCTACTTACGTGAACGACAAAATTTTTATTCACATATTACTACATCGAGTTTTTCTTCTTGCGTATTAAAAACTAAAGCCAGTAGCTCGCAATCGACGAGCTGATACTTGTTAAAGAAGTAGCTATCGCGTATTTTTAATTCATCTTTGTCGATATACGACGCCAATTTTTCTAAACTTGTATTTAGAAACTTGAAGGAATCCATAAACCTTAATTTTACGCAATTTCTTTGAAAATTCTTTTCATTTTTGTCTTTGGTGCTATCTACATGTTTAGTGAATAAAATATATTTTTCCTTCGTTATCGGAAGGAGATCTACATTTCCATCGTA